AGCGCAGGAAGAGGGGGGCCTGCGGGCGGGGCCGGGTGCCACCGCCTCCCGCCGGGCCGCGGGGCCAGCGCCGGGCCGCTCTGCTCCGCTCCGACCGCTCCGGCCGCCGTCCGCGGAGCGCTGCTGTGGTGAGCCCGCGGTGCGGGGCTTGGGCCGGCCGGGTCCCGCTGGCACGGCGCGTACCTAGCCTTGTGTTTCGGTGTAATCCCAGCGCGGCTTCTTCTTAGCGAGGTTTTTAAGGGAGAAGTTTGTAGGAAATGTGTGACTAATTCAGCATAATGGTCTCCACTGTGTCAAGTCAATTCGGTCACTTTAGGAGTGAATCTATTTTTGCATTGCCTTTCAGGTCAGAGAACGGCTGGCAGCCTGTTAGCTCATGAAAATAAAACAGGTGTGACATTCCCAAACTGGACTTAATAAATCAGTCTCAGAAAACACTTAATGCACCACCCCCCCCCCCCCGTACAGATTCCTACATATTTGTATAAAGTGTTACCTGACCTAGACATTTTCAAAAAATGACAGCAAGTGCTGCCGAGTATCTGGTGAGGTACCCTGGCCTTTAACCCAGCTGAGTGTCAAGGTCTGCTTCCTCACTGGGGATTTTTTTTTCTTTCTTTCAGAGCATACGGAGGAAATGAAGCTTACCTGGCTGCAGTACCTTAAACCACAGCTACTCAACTAGAATGAATAACAGTGTAATGGAACAGACATAAGGGTACCAAAAGTATTTTTGAATGAGTATCTTGTTTCCAAAAGTGACTATGAGCAGGTACCAAGGAAACAAGTGAGAATTCCACAAGTTTATAACCACAAAGATGATCAGACAGATGGAACAGGTATCCTCTGAAGACAAGCTGAGAGCTGGGGCTGTTCAACCTGGAGAAGGCTCCAGGAAGACCTTACAGCACCTTCCAGTACCTAAAGAGGACTTACAGAAAAAGGGGAGAGTGACTCTTTACTTGTACAGATAGTGATAGGACAAGGGGGGAACAGTTTTGAACTCAGAGAGGAGAGACTGAGATAGATGTTCGGAAGAAATTCTTTACTCACAGGGAAGGGAGGTTTTGGAACAGGTTGCTCAGAGAAGCTGTGGATGCCCAATCCCTGGAAGCGTTCAAGGCCAGGTTGGATGAGGCTTTGAGCAACCCGGTCTAAGTGAAAGGTGTCTCTGCTCATGACAGAGGGGTTCAAACTGGATTATCCTTAAGGTGCCTTCCAACCCAAGCCTTTTTTATGATTCTGTGAATATTTTCCCAGATATTTTTCCAGCTTCCAACCAGATGGCATCCTCAGCTGAATATCTTGTGGTGGTTTTTTTTGCCTCACGCCCCCAAGGTTTCGTACCCATCCTCATAGATTGCTATACCATTAATTTCCCCATTCTCTGTGAACCCACATCAATCCCAGGCTTTGCAAGGAGTACTGCAGGTCTAGTGGCATCTCTAGATGTGGCATGTGTTGAACTCAAGGCCTGTGAGCTCCAGTTATGGCCACCCTTGCTCTTGTACAAGGAGAGTGAGTGAACTGCCAGTGGCAGCATGTTGTCTGTCCTGCTCCTGACTGTCTTCCACCCAGTCCTCTAAACAGGCTGTTCAGGGCAGAGCCTTTTCAGGTCTCTCAGACCACCGTGTTACCTGCTAAGGGCACCTTGCTGGTCTTTGGGAGGAAGGCAATACTGAACACTCACAGCTTTTCTGGACTGGATGCTGCAGGTCTGCCTGTGGTGAGCTGTCTCACACAAGTGTTTGTATTGTTTCCTCTTCTATCTGCCAGGGATGACTTTAATAGATTTTTCTCATAAGTAATAAGATCATTTAAAATTATTGCTTTTACATAATACTTGATGTCTGTCTACACCTTACTTAATTTTAGAACATATCAGATATAAAGACTTACCAGTGGCAAATGTTTCCTTTTTATTTTAATAGGTATTTTCCATAGAATTTGTCATTTAACAATCTTAACTTTTTGATCAAATAAGAAACCTATTTTATGGTCTTGTTAATTTAAGACTACCTAGGATGAAATTCAGGATACCATCCAATAACCTTTGTAAATGTTTGCTTTGTATGTTTCTCGGGAAGCTTCACAAGCCAATTATTTCAGCTTCCATAATGAGCTGGTTTTGATGTCTTGCTGTTCAACACACATCTAGTTAAGAGTTGTCATTAACTCTGTTGTCTTCTTTGTTCTGTACGGTTCCAAGCACTTTGACAGAGTTGAAATCAATACTAAGTAACAATGGATGTTTTTTAGGCTTAATTCCAGGTTTAGGTATCATGGGTGAAACTGCCAACAGATCAGAAGAATGCAAGAGCCTTTTCTTTCCCATTGGTTTCAGAAGGCTTAGTGTCTGCTAGCCAGACTGGCTTTTAGCACTTAGTCCCAAAACCTCTATGTCCTGCTGTAAAATCTTATTTTCTGATGGTGGGAAAAGCCACAATTATTAAATGCCTAAAATAAACAGCTAACATCATTCATGCTTGAGATTTAATGCAAAAGAATACATCTAGTGGAATGGTGGAAAGTGTTCTTCAAACACCGAAGTACAAAAAGAACCTAATTTCAAATAAAAGCAAAACTAATCCTGGTGGATAAAACCCATAAATTATTCCTATTAAAAATACCAGCATTCTCAGAATCAATTGGTCTGTGGCTGTAAGCATACCTCCATTTTATGCCACCTATACCTGTACCCTTACTCCTGCTCTGGGACATGTGCACAAGAGTCATCAACCAGAAAGGCAGAATAGCAGCAGAAGATTTTATGCCATCAGGAGACCTTTGCTTCCATCTAGAGTAGAAGATGCCTTTGGAGGTTTCAAGCAGTTGGAGCCAAAGTACACATGATCAGTGCCAGGCCTGGGCCTGCTGTACTCCTGTTGCTTCAGCACTAGCTGAATAGCCAGGAGGAAATGTGATCTGCAGAGCAGTACAGCTCTTAGTCACAATCCCACTGCAGCATGTCTGTCTGAGCTTCAGGTAAACTGTTGTTTCAAGGGTTTCACATGTATTTAATATTGTCAGGTCATGTTCTCATGTTTTTCTTAAGAGTCATCAAGGCTAAAACTTCCTTTAAATTAAAAACTGAAGCTCAAAGGTAAAAGGGTGACTCATGAACACCTTAGAAGGAATCTCTATGTTTTCTGTTCCTTTATCTGCGTGTGTAAGAAGGCAACGTTTCCCCTCCATCCTTGATCAAGAAGGAAGTCTGTTAGAAGCACAGCTCTGTGTGCTGTCCACCAGCAGTGCTGGCAACATTTCTGAGGTGAGCAGGGAGAATCTTTGGGGATTTTGGCTCACCTGGCTTCTGTATTTTCCAGTTTCCAGTCCCAGGAATACCTATAAGATTTGCCCCTAGAGGTAAGATCCCAGAGCATGTTTTGTATCATACATGAATAAAGCCAAAAAACAATTTTCCATTTCCATGTATTATTAGGAAACACATGCTTTGTAATTTTTTACAGTTTCCCCCCTACTGCTAAAGGTGCTGTATTTTTATTTCTAAAAAATTCAACCACACCATCTTAGAACTGTTGGCAGAGGAAAAAGGTTGCATTTGCTGTGTTAGCAAGGGCATGTTTCCATTATCTGTGGCCCTTCTCATCAAGTTATAGTTCAGAAACCTGACAAGGAAGCTGAACCGGAGAAAATACGGGGGCAAAGGTTATAAAGACAAATTACAAACCAGAAGCAAAGATGAGCTAAATCCACTGCAGTGGACTGAATTTCTGCTGGTGCTCTGTAGTAATCTGTGATTACAGACACATTTGACTTAACTTTTACAGTCTTTTTATTTTTAGAAAATATAGGTGCTTACTGGTTTGTTTCAGAATCTTGTTTGATTTTTAAAAGGAGACTAAAAATTGCCTCAATCTTATTACAAATGCTTGGCTCAGAAATATTGTAAATGTTGAGTGGCCATTCCACCAAATATTCACAAGGTAAAGAGTATGCTTTATAAAAGAGAAACCATCTTGAGAAATCTATTTGAAAAGAGTAATTCTGGGGACAGGGAGTAACACTGCAAAAGAAAAATCATTAGTGGTGGACATATATAACCAATTAAACTTTCTTGCTCTTACCAGAAGTCTATTAGCCCTTAGCATAACCCACTACTGTTCAGAAAACCTACCTACCAACTGCTCTGACATTACATTGCCTGTTTTTCATTGGAAGTGTTTGGGTCCTGCACCACAGCTGACCACAAGTTGAGGGTTGGTATGAATTCAGTCAGGGTTCAGACAAGTGTCTTTGTCAGTGGTTTCCAACTGCTGAGGTATATCTCTCTTGAATTCACTAAAGGAATGTGAAGCCCATGGAATATGTTGCCCTTGATCTGTGTTCATTCCATTGACACTCTGGGACAACTCCTGTGTATTTTCCTTGGCCTTCTATGCGTTTCCTTGGCCCTTCTAAATGCACATTTACTTGTTCCAGTCAAAATTTTTTGCTGACCTTTAATATCAGTGTAATGCTGTTTAAGCTCACTATGCTTTGGAAGTGCACTAGTGCAGCAGGTGCAAGAAAAAGAAGGCAGTAGCCAGGAAGCAGGTGTGGGAAGAGGCAGTGAGTGCAACTGCCTTGGGGCAAGCAGAGGAGGAGACGTGAAATACCTGATAAAAAAAGGCAGAAGTTTAAAACAGCAGGCCAATGTTAGGTAGGCATTTGGAAAGTTCATTAAATTCTTGAGCCTTTACTGGGAAACAGCAAAAGGACAAAGACAACTAGATTTGTTTTCCAGATTTTAGAATCTATTCATCCAACATTATTTGGTGACATGAACGGGTATTTCTGGCCTAAATGTCTGTAAACAGTATATACTATCCAGGGCACAGCCAATGCATATTGCATGAGAGGGTGAGCCATGACTCTGCTGGTCTTCACACTTGCAAACCTCAGCTCTGCTCATCTTGCACGTTAATTGTTTGTGCTTTTGTTTCAAAACTTACAACCACAAGCAAAATTAACAGGCTTGTAAAATTCTATTACCATCATCCACGTAAGCATGAATTTAGCCTCATAAAGAATAAACAGACAAACAAGCAAGGAAAAAACCTTCCAAGCATATGTAACTATAGAAGAGGGATTAAGCTATTAAATGGTGCGGAAACAGCAATTCATTAGCAGGAATAAACCCATCTGATTCGTCTGTACTATAAAGTATAATGACAAATTATCAGAAGACACTATATTTTCTAATAAACAGAGACACAGCTGTAATGATTACATAGTATTTCACATAGCAATATTCAGCTAAGGCAGAGAAGGAGAAAGGAGGCAGCCAGAATTCCTTGTACCAGCTACGTAATATGTGCATTTTGGAATGTTTGGAGGTTTGGGATTTTACGTTCCTCATATTGAGTATTCTGAACTTTGTGATGATTAGTTGGGATAACCATAATGACTGGAACAACTATAATTACTAAAACATTCCTGTTATATGAAGTGTATTTTGTATATACACCCATGGTATGTATATGACACGGTAGTTGTGCAAGTTGTTGATCTGGTAGTAAGTTCCCTTGATTCCAACTGCTGTGAGTTTAGATCTGTAGTAAGGCAACAGCTTCAAGAAACTTCTGAAAACCTCAGATACTTGGGGTTCTAAATAGGAAAGATTTTTTATAAACAGAGCAAAGGGGCTTGGGAGCCCAAGGTGGAGAGACACATACTTTTATCCTCTGTCAAATATAGGAAATAGAAAGAAAATTAACCCCAGGAGTCTCTTCCTTCTTTGATACATGACATTCACTTCTTGAGAATCCTTCTCCAGAGTAAGAAATGGGCCCCTAATATGAAAAGAATGTCTGAAACTCTATTCAAAATCTCCCATCTCTCATCTATTGTAGTTCAGAGGCAAGAGGCCAAAATAAGAAGAAAGCAGAGGAGAAGGAGGAAAAGCAGAGATGGGCAGTGGGCATCAGCTCCATACCTTCTAAAACTTTCCATGCTAGAGATGTACTTGTACACCTGATTTTATCCTTCCCACCCAGCTTCCTAAAACAATCACTGACCTGCTGCTGAGCTTAGAGGGGGGTGCAGAGAATTGATATTTCTGGGTACAGGTATATATTTGATTACAGCACTATACAAAGCACTGAGCATCATCACAGAGCTCAGTCCCTTCCTGTCCCAAGGACTTGTGCAAATTCCATGATGGTTTTCTCTGTCACTCTTCTTCTATTAACATACAAGAAGCTAACAGAGGAGGATCTAGTAGACAGCACTTTTAAAAGCCAGAGGATAACAAGCTCTTCAAACTCAGCACATCTGAACTATCAATACTTTTGTTGAAAGAGAGTATTGCTGAAACTTAGCAGGCTACCATTACACTTCAGTGTTTCCCTTCCTAATTTTTTTTCTTGTCTACTAAGAGGAGGGACAAAAGTTCCTGTTTAGTAAATTAGCAGGTACTTTTACAAAATCATTTTTTATTCATATGTGTAATTACTTGTGTGTGTCTAGAAAGATGATTACCTTTTTTGCAAGAATGACTCTTTTTAGGACTCATCTATATTCTTTTCAGATTGCCTCTACTGAGTCATAATTATTGGCTTGGATTCTTACACTACCCAGGGGACTGTTAACTACCTTTAACTGCTGACAGTGGCTCACCTTCTTGAAGACAAGAAGGCTTTAACAAGAAGGTGCCAACAATCTAGAATTGGAATAGGAATACCTATTCCCAGGCTAGTGCAGCCATTAGACAATTCCCTCTCTATGCCACAGTAAAGCAAAGCACACACGTCCAGAAACACTGGCTTGGAGCAATGCCTAGATGCCATGGTGCTTTTAAGTTAAAAACCTGAGACCTTGTGTATGGGGGTTTTATTTACTTAACAACTCATTTTTTTTTTTTTTAACAGCAACTCCTGGAAACAGAAAATGAGAGGAAGAAAATAAGGGGAGAACTTACAGGGATCTCCAGCAAACAAGAAAGTGCCCTCTGACATCTGCCCAGAACAGCGGGCCGGTATCAGTTCAAGAAGTTTGGTCTGTGGTACCGTCTCCACTCCTCAGAAAGTATTTGGGTGCATGTCTCCCACGGGAGGGTGGGAGGGAGGATACTGGAAGCACGGCTAAACAGCTGCCTGTTCCTCCCTGAAAACCCCACTTCTGGGCGTTCACACGCCACGCTGGTGGCAGCAGCTGAAGCATTTACCAGGGGCTGAGACGCTGAGGTGCCCAGCCAGGCCGCCGCTCCCGCGGCGAGCACAACGCCAGGGCCTCACCAGGCAGCGACTGCACCGGCGAGTCCGGGCGCTCACAAGTGATGACTCAGTCTCCCCTAAATTAGGGGATTGCCAGTGACGTCTGCTAAAAAAAAACAAGAGGCAGAAAGCGCACGTTGTTTTGCTTCAGCAGAGCGGGGGAAGGTCTTTCCAGCCCCACCTTCCCCGCTCCTGGCTCCCCGATCCGGGCAGAGCCTGCAGGCTCCGGGACACGGCAGCGACTCCAGGACACAAAGGCAATGTTGACCGCAGCGGGGCTCCTCCGCACGGCCGCCGGGACACTGTGGCGGGGAGAAAGCGGGCGGCACAGGGCTGTACTCGGGCTCCCCTTCTGCTCCTCCTCGCCGGCAGTAAGCCCTGTCCGCCGGCAACCACGCGGAGCGGGGGCGTTCCGCCGCCGGCCTCCTGTACAACGCAGCCCCCGGCGGCGTCCCCCGGTGACCCTTCCCGCGCCACCGCGCGGGATAAGGGAGCCGCAGCAAGCTCGCCCGTTCGGGCCCTCTCCCTCCTTCCCTTTTCCTCCCCTCCCGCCCTCCAGCCAGACCTGCCCTCGCGCATGCGCAACCGACCGGGGACCGCTGGGAAACGTAGTCCTACTGCGTCCCTAACGGCTCCATTTTCTCCCCGTCGCCAGAGGAATCGCGAGTGCGCAGGCCCGCCCCCTCCCCTCGGGCGTTACCGCCCCCTCTGCCGCGGCGCGCGGTATCCCGGGCAGCGGTGTCACAGCGGGGATTGGCCGAGGGCGCCGCGGGGCGGGACGCGAAGGGCGCGGTGATTGGCTGCGGCGGCTGTCAGGCGCCGCGGGGTGATGGATGCGGGTGCCCGCTGAGGAGGGAGGGACGGAACGCTCCCCGTTTCCCCTCGGCGTCCGGCGCCGCGCCGGGCACAGCCCTGCTCGCAGCGCGGGGTGGCGTCGCATGGTTCTCAGTGTTCCCCTCTCCTAGGAAGGGCTTCGTAGCCGCTCCATCCCGGGCGAGCTGGCAGGAGGCGAGACTCCTCCAAAGTCCCGGTACCCTACCGCAAAAGCATTCACTTGCCCCCGCGATCCCCCAGCCTCCCCTCGGGCCGCTCGCCTCGCAGCCTCCGCACAACTTCACCGGAGCCTGCGCCTTCCCCGGGGCTTCCTTCACCCCACGCCCACGCCGGCCCTGCACCGCCCGCCCCCTGGCTCGGCCCGCATCCCCGCCGCCTTCCCTCCCTCTCCAAACGTGAGTAAGGGAGGCGGGACGATGGATATGCGGAGGTTCCGGGCGGGGGAAGGGATTGAGTGTGTGCGGTGAGTGTGTGAGAGAGAGAGAGTGTGTGTGTGTGTGTGTGTGTACACAGCGCTGGGAGAGAGCGCATGCGCTCTGGCTGGCGGGGCCGAATGTTTCCCAAGTGTTTGAAACTGGTATTTGGGTTTTCCACGTTGGATCTAGCGCGGCGTATGGGAGCGAGGAGGCTGCGTTGATATCGCCGGGGAGCGGCGGCGGCGGCGGCGGTGAGGAGGAGAGCGGGGAAGGGGGGAGCGGAGGAGAAGCGGAGCAGAGCGGCGCTGGCGCAGGCAGAGGGGCTGCCGCTGCCTCTGACAGACACTTTGCAGAGCACATTTTGTTTCCAGATTGTTTCGGAGGAGCTGGTTTAAGCCCCCCTCCTTTCTCCTCCTCCTCCTCCCCCCCTCCTCTCCCCACACACACACGCACACACACACACACACACACAAATCCCTCTGATTGTTCTTACCACCTCCTTCGTGAATTACCCACAACGACAGCCATTCAATCAGCTGCTGCTGGCTGTAGGGGACTAGCGGAGGGTGTGTGTGTGTGTCTCTCTCTCCCTCTTTTTCACACAAGAGGAGTCAGATGTAGCTTCCCTCGGTTTTTTTCGGGGGGAGCTACCGAGAGAGGTGGGCAGGGAGTGAGACCTTCATCGGGGTTACCGTCTTTGAAGGGAGCAGCACTTGCTCTCACACGGAGAGGTGTGGGGAAGGATTTTTGTTTCTTTGCCGGATGAAAATGTTGAGTCCTGCAAACGGAGACCAGCTTCACCTAGTGAACTATGTGGAGGATTATCTGGACTCCATCGAGTCTATGCCCTTCGATCTGCAGAGAAATGTCTCCTTGATGAGGGAAATTGACGCCAAATATCAAGGTAAGTGTTTTCTATATATGTGTGTGTCCGTGTGTGTGGTTTGGGGCTCGGGGGGAAGGGTGTCTTTCCCTTTCTTTTCTTTAGAGCTGAGCCTCGGCTCCGTTTGCCCCTCTGCACCCCACAGGGATGGTAGCTTTATTTTTGAGAGGTAAAAGGAGGAAGAAAGCCGGGAGGAAAGATCCGAGGAGAGAGAGGGACTGATCTGCAGCGTTAGCTCTTGTCATGGGGCGGAACAAAAGGTCTCCGGCTTTTCTTATTAAGCAAGGACTCTGCTTTTCTGTGTAAATTGCTGGCCAAGAAGGCGGGGGCAGGGAAGTGGGGTGTGCGGTGCACAAAGGGGGGCCGTCCCTGGCCGTGGGGCTGAGGTGGAAGCGTTTGGGGGTACGGAGGAAAGTGCTGGGTGGATAGAGGGGGTAGAGATTACAGCACAACATTTAGGAATGTACAGTATTCATTATGGCTGTAGTAGGGGAGAGAGGCAGCTAGTGAAGGAGGGAGGGAAGGAGGGAGGGAGAAGAGGAGAGGGGGGTTAGGCGAGAGCGGGGGGCAGGGTGTGCTTTCTTCGCTCCCTCCTCGGTGGGTTTCGTTTCACCCGGTGAAGCAGCCCCGCTCCGTTGGGCGGGGGGGCCGAGGGGGCAGGACCGGCGTGTGCGGTGTGAGTGGGGGGGAACGACACACACGGTCGCGTTTACGGCTGGGCTGAAGCGCCCCCCTCCCTCGCCGCGCTCGGGGCACGCCGTCCCCGTCCCCACGGGCGGAGGGAAGGAAGGGGAGGCCCGTTTGCGGGACTCGGGGCAGCTTTGTCACTTGGTCGCTGGCGTCCGCTCGAGAAGGGAGGGGGAGGGGGGAGCGCTTTATTCTGTGCCGCAGGTAGCGGTGACAGCCGGGGTGCCGGGAGGGGGGACCCCCTCTCCCTGTCCGCGCCGCCGTGCATGTGGCCTTAGGGGCGGTGGGCACCGAGCCCTGCCTGCCGTTGCCTCAGCCTCTCCTCGGGCAGCTCACCATGGGAGCCCGTCAGCTCCCAAGGGAAGGGTCCGGGGGAAACTTCTTCAGGAGCCCGCGGGGGCTTGTCGGGGGTGGGAAGGGAAGAAAAGGACAGAGCGGGCATCACGCCCGACAACACCACGTCCAGCGAGCACCTCCGCGCTGTGCTAGGAAGGGGCGTCCGTGCTGTTTTTATAGACAGGTCTCGTTAGCATATCGCGGTTGGCCACGCCCGTCGGGGGCGCTGATAGGGCGGGGGCGTCCCCAAGGGCCGGCCGTGCCCCGCCTCCCCGCGCGGATTGGCTCCGGGGCCGCGCCGACCCGTCTCGCGCCCCCGCCCCGTTGTGACGTTTCGAGAAGCAACTTTTCCGTGGGGTTGATTTGAATATCTCAGCCGGCCCCGGCCGACGCGCTGTGATTGGCCGGGCTCGCAGCAGGGGGCGGGGCAACCTTGGCCGTCCGGAGAGTGACTGACGTGTCCGGGGGGGGGGGGGGGGGGCGCCGCTGCTCCAGCCGCGCCTCGCTCGTGACTGGCCGAAGGGGGCGGGGCCGAGCGCGCTCCCGCCCGTCGTGATTGGCTGCTGCCCCGTGTCAATCACTCGTTTGTTACCCCGCGAGGGTCCGTTCGGCTCCGCTCGGGACGGCGGGGGCGGGTCTGCTCCGCCCCCTCCGCGCCCCCGGGACCGCCGCGGGTTCCAGGGGACGTCCCGGTTTCCTGCCCGAGAACAATGGCGGCTCCGTCACCTCCGGGGCGGCCCCGGGCGCCGCAGAGGGGCGGGGAGGAGGCCGGGCCCTCGCCCGGGACCCGCTCGCCGTCGTTCCGCCGTGTCTCAGCCCCCGTGAGGCTGCGGAGCTGCGCTGGCAGTGAGGCTCTGGCGGCTTCCCTGCGCTTGAGTGCCGTTCGTGACGCCCGGAGCGTGCGTTCGCCAGTGGCTCGGAGCGCAGCTTGCCGCTCCCGCTGTTGGAGCGCGGTTTGCTGGCATTGCCGTGCCCTGCGGCTCCCTCCCGAGGCGGGCAGCTGCGCCAGCCCCGAGCCGGCCCGGTGCTCTCAGCACCGGGGGAGCAGCGCGCTGCCGGCGCTCAGCATCCTCGGCTCCGTGTCTCGCATGCCGAGCCGGCGGCGCCGTGCGGGATCGCGGCCTGCACCGGGGCTCCTCCCGCGCGGCACCGCGGGAACGGCAGCGCGCGCTGCCAGAACCGAGGTTTTCCCAGCGCCGAACTTCAGTCGGTAATTGTATTGTGCTCTTCAGACAGAGCGTTCCTCATAGAACGTGCCCACCCGCCAGATTCAGAAGGGTTAAGCCGATGACATCAGTCAAGTGCCAAAGCACAAAACTGCATTTCAGCCACTGAAATCATTAACTCTGCTTTTTCTGCCCTCCTGAATGTAGAATCTGCCGTATGTTTGAAGGGTCTTTTGGTGGCATCTTGGGTTTGGATTTCTTTTTGGTAGTTTTTTATTGTTTTGTTTGGGGATTTTTTTGTAGGTTAAAAAAAACCCCACCAGTTGCTTAAAATTGTTAGTAACATATTGGAATGCTGATTTGGTCAGGTAGGTTATATTGCAGAACCAGCTGACAGGTCCTGCTTAATCAAGGTGTGAAACACAAGCTGCAGCTCTAAAATCTGAAGCAAACCTTACATAATATTTCCACGTCTTCACTGGAAATCATGTATGTTTA